AAAAAAAAAAAAAAAAAGATTAGTGAAAATGAAATAGAGGTACATGGATAATTCTTATAATGTTGAGAGAAAAAGCAAAGTACACAAATACCATGCAACATAATTTAAAAACATACAAAATAACATTATTTATGCACGTGGAAATATATAATATATATAAATGTATTATGAAATTAATAAATGGCAAATGGTTTCTATTAAATAATAGCACATGACAAGACACGTGGAGACTGAGACTGTGGGAAAGACCAGATTTTATTCCATCTGCATACAGGCAGGCTGAAATTGGAGTGCTATCAGCAGCTCTCTGGAGAGGAGGCTAAGTACGTATAGGATTTAAGGTTGGCAGCCCCAGTCTCAAAGAATCTGGATGGAATGTTTGAGGTCAAAGCCACAAGGACAATCAGCGCAGGTGTGTGTATAGAGCTGGTATCACGAAGACTGCAGGTCCCGTCTTAGATTTTTTTATGGCCCTTAATTCTTGTATGCTGAGGGCAGTCTGTTGTTTATAGAGGGCATCATGGAGGTCTCTCTTGGGCCTGGCACTCCCATTTTTTTGTTGTTCTATACAGAGGGTTGGGAAAGAGGGCAGATTTTCTCATGGCTACTTTAGGCATGACAACAGGGCAGCATGGGAAGCCTAATTGGGAGAAAAATCTTGGGGAGCAGGGCTGTATCGGAGAGAAATCAGTCAGCATTCGCCTCTTGGTAATTGCTTATATACGACCCTATAGAAACAGAGGGAAAAGTCTGAGGAGACATTACCCAAGGAGAAAGAGGAGGATAAGACGGATAAGAGGTACAGCTAGTGGAAGAAGCCACGAGACCCAGCCCCGAGCATTAGTCCGAGTCAGACAGGTGCTTTCTAATTTCTGAAGCGTTTTCTGTCAGTCTCTTGGCTGTGTCCTGTACTGTGCCTGACACAATAACAACATTCTTCTCCCAAAAAGAAATATAACCCATCTTTTTCTGCAGTGAGAAGGCCTAAACCTCTATGATTTTGAAGGGTCATTGCTGCTGGGGAGTCTGTCTGGTTTTATAAGGTGAGAGTAGTCAACTGTCTGAGGCTGTCAGAAAGATCTTGGGAGAGGAAACAGGAGGTCAGGGAGGTCATTAACCCTGCTGTGCCTTTCCTTTAGCAGCAGTGATACCCAAACCGATAAGCAGAGGTATTAAGTGTATGGCTCTGCATCATCAGACGTGGTTCTAACAGCAACAGGAAGACTGGTTTCCCGGGGCAGTGTCTATTTTGGGGTGGAGATATGTCAGTGTGCAGATGCCTGTCCAAGTAGTTGGGAGGCACAGCAGGTAGAGGTCCCACAGGGAAAGAAAACACCTTGAATGGGCAAACAGAATTGCTTGTGAATGTTGAGGAGGTGTGTGGCCTTTTTATTTTCTCTTTCCCAGACTCCCAGGGTGTCTGCTAGGGCAGGGGCTGGAAGGGTATCTGACTCGAGATTTGACTGGCTCTTATTGCTGTTTTCCCAGTGTAGGAAGGATCTCTTTGTATCTGCTAAGAGCCATTGTGAGGAATGATCAAAGGTAGGGAGGAGGAGACAGTCTGAGCAAGTGGAAGATTGATGACAGGGATTCCATGGGAAAGGGCGTGTGTGGGACATGACGTCCACTGCAAAACTGTCTATTGAGCAGTGACGTAGTCACGACTTTGGAAGGACCAGAGAAGCAGGCAACCTGAGTGAATGGGGCATCCTGAGTAACCTGGTAGCTGGCAAGGTCATATGAGGCCTGTAACAGTAGCATATAGTTACACTGTTGGGGAAGTAGATGTCCTAGTAATGTACAGATTATGCTGAATGCAAACAGGGGCTTGGAAAGTCAGAGGAGTATCAGTGCTTACGGGGCCGGGTATGTGCTTAGTTGAGCTCTCATACACAGAAGCGTTAGGGATATAGGACTGGAGGAGTCGGGCTGTGCGTCCTACCCGGGGTTTTTTGTCTTGCTGTTGATAGGGAAAGCAGCTACAGACGTTTTGTTTGGCGGGTGGAGTGGGTTTTCATTTCATATTGATGGCGGTATGTGAGACTGGTAGAAACCCAGAGTTGGAGAGGGACTGGAATGACTCTATATGTTGCTGTACACATAGAAATACAGAGCCAGCAATCTTTGGCTAGGGTAGGACTAGAGCTGTTCAGCAAGGGTACCAATGAAGTTTTGTAAAGATAATTGGGAACAGCTGAATGAAGCCATGGGAGAGCAACCTCCAGGCATGGTGAAAGGGAGTGTTAACCGGGCCAAAGGTCATAGCTAAGGGCAGTAGGGCTAGGGTATTAAGATGTCTCACCATAAAAGGGGAACAGGACAGGTAGAGGTGACTAAATGTGAGTGTGAGAGGTGTGGACCCAACTGGGTCCAGATTAGGGAAGTTTTTAAAGGTCTAGAGACTTTACCATCAATTCCTACAACAGTAATTGGGGCCAAGGAGGTTGAGCCTCAGAAGAAGAGCAAAGTGGAACGGCGAGTGCCTGTGTCAATCAGGAATGGGGTGGACTTACCCTCTACTGTATGAGTCACCCAGAGTTTGGCATTTGAAATGTGCCAGGGGGCCTCTGCAGGTTTGGGGCCCAGTTAGTCCTCAGTGGCCAGGCCAAGAAGTTTTGGGAAGGAGCTGGTTGGGTGGAGGTCCCAGGACCATTGTCCAAGGCCACCAGGGGTGGAGCAGTCCAACTTCCAGTGGGGACCCCCACAGGCAGGATGCAGCTTAGGAGGGATCCCAGGCTGTGGGCATTTGAAGCATGGCCTTGGAGGGATATGCCTGGGCAGGAAGGTCTTAGAAATGCTTTTAGCCATGGGCTGGGGGTCTGGTCCAGCCTAAGGGTTTCTTACAGGGAAGGCTAACATCTGCAGCTCAGAAAAATGCTGTTTTCGAGCTTTTTCATCTCTGTTATTAAAAACTT